GAAAAAGGAAAAAACGGCGCGACGCGGCGCGCAATGGAGAACGGCGAGAAATCGATACGACTTTAATCCGTAGGCTAAAGGCCGATATCCGCGGCAATCGGGCGAGCGAAAGTGATTGATGGATACCCATAAATACATAATCACGGCTCATTCGGCGGCGAGTACAGCGCCGACATGGACGACGGAAAAATCGGATACGCCTCGTTGTCCAAAAGCCGCGCGTTCGCCATTCACGGTCGGAATTTTTAATCCCGAAACGCGCTATATCGCGTATATACACGAGTTCTTTCGCGCGTAATGTACGTACGTGTCGCTCATGCTAAACAGAAAAATCTCGTTATGGTTGTGCAGCTTAATTCCGATGCCTCATTCTTAATTATTATTCGGTGATAAATTTATTAATGAAGAAATTAAGGAGGAGAAATGTAAGAATGTTGTGACATTTAAAGATCTATGCGCGTATTATTGCAAATGTATAAAATTAACGAGAAGACATGGTAGAAAAAAGAAATCTGTTAAAATCCGAATTCATCACACAGAACGAACATACGTGAAACGTCAAGGATTTATCACTCGTGTGTTACCAAACACATTTTTGCGAGATTCCCGATTACAAAAACACACAAACGCATAAAATATATTATATATTTAAATATTTTGAAAATAAATTATTTTGTTTTATAGCCTAAAGTGATTTCACATAGAGAAAGAAAGAGAGAGAAAAACAAGTTTGCAGTAACTTAAAAATTCAACTGAATATTTTGAGCAATAAATAAAGACGCGCATAATAAGACAAAGTTCAATAAGCGTATCGTCATATTTCTTGTGTGTTGTCAACTTCTGTTATATTAACTTTTTTATCTCTACAATAATCTCCACATGTATGTAAAGCTCGGTATAAACAAAATTAAAAGTTGATAAAATTGCCGAGCGATCCCGTACAAATTCGACGCTTATCATATCCGCGGCAATTTGTAGTTCGGATTGTCATTATTTCCAAGCTGATTATTCGAGATGTCAGATTCTCTATTGTGCGCTTCCTCGCGCACGCGTCTATCGCGAGAAGAATATTCATTCATTCGTCGATATTTTGCAATCTCCGACAAAGCGGCAGGACGTCGAATAAAATTTACCTGTCAAAGATCGCGAGCTTATGGCCACGGACGTCGCTTTCTCCGCTTCTCCGATCCGCGTTGTGAGGAATTCTTCGCGCTGTGCACGCGAAAGTGTTTCTCTCGCGCAGACACGCACGCACGCACGTACACATGCACGTTTCGGCAATTTTGCTAGCGCAATCGGGGACCGAACGGACGGGACGAAGCGGAATTGAGCGGTAAAACCCGCGCGCTCGGTCGTTCTGCGCACGATTCTGCGATTGAGACGCCGCTACCGGACGCAAACGTGTTATTTGCCCCGAAATCATCGATACTCATTATATCCGGCTTACTCGGAACTCTTTACATTGCGATGCACGATTAACACTTTGAGGAGCACTGATACTTATTTGCGGCGCAAAATAGAAAGAACTAATGTATTTATTACAGCATCGACAATTACAAATGATTGTCAGATGTTTCGACGTTCAAGGCACTGCTGAACAGAACAAAAATTAAAAAAACAAGAACTTGCCATGTGTTCAATTACAAGAATTGTGAAGAAAGAAAATAAGAGAGACTCACATGTGTATATATATTCCACCCTACTTACTTTTGTCACTTCTTATTACGAACTACGTGCATCGCAATGTAAGCACACGCGTAAACAAGCGCCAGCAGTTATCGGCACAGAGGGAGAGAACGTTGTTTTCATACGAAGTCGGTTATCAGAATAAATATCGTCTGTTTGACGCGTATTGTACGATCATGAAATGTCCGTTCCAGTCGAATTTTAATTCTCAAGTTTTTCTCATCAGATCGAAAATGGATCCACTAACAAGAATCCCGCATTTGCATACGACGAGATAAATATTATTCCAGTAAACCGATTATCTCTCGCGCATCGTCAAAATAAGTCATCAGTCGCATCAACTCCAAAATTATACTAATTGTTTTTTTTTTTTTTATGATGATGGATATCTTAAATATTTAGATATTAAATAATTGTTTTTTTTTTTTGCGAGAATAGATATCTTTACTGACGAATATTTTTACCGACGAATTTATCTACAAAAAATGTCACTTTCTTATAACAACTTTTTATTTATGATGTAAATATTAATGTCATTCTTCTCAAAAACGAAATGTTTAATGTTATTTTTTTCTGAAGATGTAACCTGCTATGTGTGGTTTTTTACGAAAATAATCGTGTAATATTTATATACAGATAAGATTTTAAATACTGCAATTCTGATTTGTCATTTTAACGTTGTGTATAATTGTGAGCTTATATAAATACTTTAAAGTGCAAAGTTTAGAAATAAAAAATAATAAAAAAACAGATTCTACACGTATGCAAAAGCCAGTAACATATCATAAACAAAACCTTTCATTAAAAATATATTACTTAATCAAATGTATAATATATAATTCATGCATATGGCATAAATACATATGTAATTACATGTCTTTTTGTCAGCGAGTAAATTTTAATATCTGTTTATAACACACACGCGTTAATAAATCTCGGAGCTTTTATTGCACGTTTTATTTGTGTGTGTGTGTGTGTGCGCGCGCGCGTATGTTTTTCTGCATTGTTATATTAAACGCCAGCAAATCACCAGCTAATCGCGCGTTAAATATTATTTTGGCACAATTCACATACACAACGGATAAAAGGCTATCGCGAGGCGGAGATTTTAGACAGCAATTGTCCGGCAATTCGCCGTGTTTGTCCGTCGCGTGAACAAGAAACCGCAAACTGTGACACGAAATCTAATTAATTCTTCGAAAAGAAGTGTAGTTTTCGAGCGTTGACCGCGAATTATCGCGTTTCGTTTTGCCAGTCGAAAGAGACGGCCGACGATATTGTAATACCGTCAAAATAATCGTTCCCAGCGCATTAACCTATCGGTGCGAACGGCGAAGCCTCGAACGGCGAATCGTTTTGCTTACAATCGTTTCTTCAACCACGACCTCGACTTGGCATTTCACGCGGACTCTGTCATCCGTCGGCGATGTTTTTGCGAGACGGAAGATAACTTGACACAAGAATGTACTTTAACTCGCAGAAAAATAGAAATTTTTCAAACAAGAAAAACACGTACGCGAGAGAAAATTATTCGCGAATATATTCGATTTGCAGTACCAGGAGGCATCGGAGATTTTAATCGTATGTAGTTGAAATAACTTGATGTCTATAGTTTTGTTGCGGTGTAGGCTCGCACAATCAGTTTTCTTGAAGTACGACCCAAGTCACTTTATGTCACTTCTGGCGTTTGAATTATAACAGATGAAAGTATCAGCAATCTGTTTATACCGTTTAATTAAATTATCGCGGGACACTCATTGACTACCGGAATAATATCGCAATTATTTATTATGTACGCGCGCTCGCGCGCAGAACAGAAAGAAGAAATAACGCGTCTAACTTTTGACACGTTAGATATGTTTACGAGACACACGTTGAATAGAAACGTGTTTCGGAGCGGCGCGACCGTCGTCTTTCATCGTCGCGGAACAACAACGGGCGAGCGTCAACTAGTCGCTTGTTTTAATTAAGCGTTCGTAATGTCATACGCGTCTGTCATCGCGACTTGACCAGGGTGAAAGCTACCGCGCGCACACACACACACACACACACACACACACACATACACAACACTTTACCATCTCCGCTGAAAATATATATTCTGGCTGAATTCTCCACACGCGAATTCTTAGGCGCTCACTTCAATTCCCAAGCGTGTCGAAGATTAACGCGGTTGAAACAATAGCGGTCACGCGTGAAACAATAGCGGTGGTAAATATTCAGCGAGGAACTCGACAGAAGCGCTTAAAAACACCTTTGAAATCAGTGAGAAACCGTTTCGAAATGACCTCGACGTAACATTCATAGTAGACACGATCCCTATTCGTATCCTCTCTTGATCCCATATACGACTATTCAGCAGAAGCTAGGCTCGGTGTGCGAGCCAACGAGAGAGAGAGAAAGAGAGAGAGAGAGAGAGAGAGAGAGCGTGAAGCCATCGTCGTCGCAACTCACAATCGAGGCCAGAGGAAATTTACTCCCCGGTGTTGTGTTATGATTATCGGTCGCAATTACGCCGCGGTCAAAGTCGTCCGATTACGACGTGTGTAATCGGCACGTAAACACGAATCGGGTCCCACAAGTCTTGCGGCAGATTCACAATGCTCTTTCTCTCACTCTCTCGCTCTCTTTTCCCATTTCTCTCGCATCCGCGAACCGACGCGCGCGAATCATTCGAATTTCGCGCGCGAGTAAGAAGAGCTCGCTCGCGGCGAACCCGAAAGCGGAAAGCCCTTTTGTGCGACCGTCCTCTCGCGTTCCTCCTTGTCCGGCCTAACGCAGCGCGGCGGGCGTTTACAAAGCGCCGAGGCGACCGACATGTAAATTTCTCTTTCGACACGATATTCAATTCAAATTCACCACAGCTGCGGACTCTCGCGCGTTTAAACTGATACTCTCGCCCCGTCTTTTTTTTCAGCATAGAGAAAGAGAAGCACTGTATTACTGAGTTCACGCGTTTGCGACGACTCTCGAGGCAGTCGTCTTCGAAAAAAAAGGATCGCCGGATGTGGCATCCGGACGAAACTTTTCGTCACGAACAAACGAACACTCAATCACTCTCGCGTGAACACGGAAATATTATTTGTCACCATAGGTCTTGGTTGTTGGATTATTGTTGAAACGCGAGAAGACATCGGGCTAAAAGATAATGATATTTTAACTCTCCAGATTTGACTTCCATGAAATTTCCGTACAAAACACTTTCGGAGCACACGTTTTTTCACGATTCACGACCTAACAATTAGTCACCTAACGTCGCGTAATCGAAAGATAAAAGAGAGAAACATGCAGAAGCAAGTTGTGAAGAAACGTACCCTTGGCTGCGCCATGAACGCCCTGGCCGCGCCGGGGAACTCTGCGTGCTGAGCCACCGTAGCGGCTGTATTTTCCCACAAAATAAGCAAAAAGAGCTTCTACACTGCACCACACTTGTTTCTCAGCACTGTTAGAGCACGTTTAAGCCTGATGCTCCGACGCGCTACAATGACGCTGCGTTTTGTCACGTTAAGATAGAAGCGCGTGTTCCTGAAGTAATGAACCGAATTCCTGATACTCCGTCGGCGGCCGACGGCAGGTTCCGAAAGGTGTGGAAAAACTTTTGTGTTCTTTTCTAAGAGCAGCCGATACGCGCGTTTTTGGCCAAACGCGCGCGCACCTCTCCGTCGGCCCGCTTGTTTCACACTCTGACAATCTCGCACGCCCTTTACACGGCTTCCGCCGTTGCGTATCACTTCTTTCCTGATGTGTTATCTTGTCTTCGCTATCTGCGTGTTTGTCTGTTTGTTTCAAAGTTGCCGTTGTTCACAGCAAGTCTATGGCCGACGTTGAATTCGGAAAATCGCGAACGGGCGTCAGCACAGCTCGGTGACGAGTATCGCTCCGGGTAAAAGTAATACAACGGCGTCTTCAACGTCTGCAAGTGGACGCACGTGTTTCTTCATTGTCGCGGTAACACCAGCTCGGTGTCAGAGCGCCTCTCGTCAATCCCGCGCGAGCAATCGTCTTCGCTCGTGATCCACGAGCACCTGGTGTTGTCGCATATAAGCGACGCTCGCGCTTTCCGAATCTTGAACCGATTGCGAATTTTCTCTCGGAGAGTGAAATTGAGAGTTGAAAATGCACCTTACAGCACGGCGCTCGTGCGCCAGGTGATCGCGAGGCCTGCGAGTCGAACGCGCCTCATCGAGGTTTTTATCGTCGAGAATATCGTAGAAAGTGGCACAAACTAACTTGTTTCTTCTGTCCAACTTCGTTGTTCTCACATCTATAAAGATATATATATGTACGCAGCAACGTGTCAGGTGTTCCTGTTTCTACTCACTGTTTCGCACACCAACAACCCGATGCACCAAATTGTCACTGATTGGAAACACGTTACATTCCTTCAGTTAAACACCGTAACCAAACACGAAAAGAAACCACGATGACGCCCGACGACGAGGACGAATGACGACGACGGCGGCGGGCGTCACGATGCCAATCACTATTCACTGCCGTCGCGGCACAGTTTTAATCGTGCCTCGCGGATATTTCCGCGTTCGGAGCGGATGATGATGATGATGATGATGATGCCCGCGAGTCGCGAAGACAAGACGCGCGTGACGCACACAGTGTGGCGGCGGCGTTGCCACAACCAATACGCTTGTCTACGCGATACGTATCTCCGAGGTTGCCGCCTTTACGTTCTAATGCCGGCCGTGCTCGTTTCGGAACGATAGCACGCGCGGTTGTTACGATAGAACAGGATAACTGTGTAAAAACGAGCGCGAATTGACCGAACGACGTTCAACACGGTGATTCACGTTTACGATGACGACGGTGACGACGCGACGGCGGCTCGATGCGTTTACTATTCGCGACGGTATACTACTATCACCGTACGGACGCGAGTCAAGAGAGGAGACCGCGCGATCGAGAGCTGTCCGCGACACACGGCGGGCGACCCTCCTCCCTGACCGTGACTACTACTGCGTGTGGCACTCGTAACTCCGGCCGACAGAAGGTGGTAGGTTGGCTCGTCGTAGTGTGTTACACGTAGCGGCGGGAGCGCGGTCGTCGTAGGCAAGCCACGGGGATATGCGTATTTCAGGTTTCCCCCACGAAAAAGCAACCGGGTGTAGATCGCACGGGTAGAGAAGAGCGGAGCGAGCGAGCGTGGAGAGCAGCGCCTAGCGCGGTTTTAGATCCTGCGCCGTCCGCAGTCGTTCGCCAACTGTCAATCAGCGCCTCGCTACGCCGAGGAGTGGGAGGCGCGCCGACACGCCTACCGAGAGCGGCCAATGCGCCCCCTGAGCCCGCCCATCAGGACCGACGGAGAGCGCTCGCGCACCCAGCGCCACTCACGGCGAGTCTGCTAACTATCGGATCCTCCGCCATCGCTACACCACTACCAACGAGACCGCCGACGGACGACGACGACGACGACGACGACGATGTCGACGACGACGAAGCTGACGACGACGAGACTAGGACGATACGAAGACAGAACAGAACGTCGTCTACGAAATATAGTACAGTAGCGTGAGATCCGCGAGATTCGCGGCCCAACTCCATTGCTCCAATTCTACGAGACGTTTTTCTCGTCTCAAAGCTTTCTGTCTTCAAAAATTAAGATCCGAAAAGTTATCTGGCGGATTCAACATATTTATTTAGGATTTGTATAAAATATAAGAAATTATTTTCTAACGAGAGCGTGTACGTAACAACACATATGTGTATATTGAAAATATGTTTCATTATATTCACTTTACATAACGTGTTTGTTAGTTCCATGAAATCTAACGTTTCGATTTTCACTTTAAAATGTATAATATCAGTTTTCTTCTTGATATCTTATATACTATTTTAAACAATATGTAATAAAAATATTTTAAAGAACCGAAGCAAACAACAATTGGTAACATTTCTGAAAATAAACTTGACATAGGCATTAATATGATTAACTGAAGCACGTCGAATGGAAGTCGTTCCGTCGGTGATCGACGCCCTCGCAGAATCTCGCAGGACCTAGTGCGCATTTTGACACTGCGCTTTCGGGGGACTACTCCCCTTTCTACGTGGGTCGACGAATCGAGCCGAAGATACTCGAGCAGCCACGAACGCAGGATAATGCTGACAGTCAGTGTAGCAAGTAGTTCTTGGCAACGAGAGAGAGAGAGAGAGAGAGAAAAGGGGGGAGAGAAATCCGTCTCACTGTTTTTCCCTCACGAAATACGAACACAGCCGTTTCGGGTAAATTCTCGTCGACTCGAGTTGCAGAATTAACTAATCCTAAGCCAACAATTCACTGTCTTTTCCTAAATTACGTAGACGTAGATATATGTATATGTATAAGAGATGAGAATTTGGTTTGCCTGGATTAGATATAAGAACGACTTTTAATCCCTCGCAATTCCGTGTAACAAAACGAATACTTTTAATCGTTTTCCGTCGGACAGAATCATGAGCCAACATCATAAAAGTTTCTTGCAATTCGGTAGAACAAATTTCACAATTCTCGTGCAAGATACAATTTCTTATTCGCATTTGTTTATTTTATTTCATCATGTCACGCATACGATAACTGATAAACTTGAGGTAGAAGTTGCTGTGACATTTCGTTCATGTCAAATAAACATAAAACTCCAAGTATTATTTAGTACTTGTTACATTCAAAGTACTATTTTGTGTATAAATTATCTCACACATTGCTGCTTAACAGATTGAGTTATGCGCGGTGCTTTGTATCCCTGTATATTGTGCGAGTAAAATCGTGAAGGGAAGTTACCTCCGTCTCAACCAAAACTATTGACAGCGACGCAATCTTTTTTTTTTGTTTTTTCCATAATTTCGCGAGCATTTCGCGCCAGACGCCCGGCGGCGCTAGCGATCGGGGCTTTGAATGAACCGAACAGCTGACTCCGCGTAGGAATTGGGTCGCGAACGTGCGGTTTCGAACTTTGAATGGTATTCGGCGTTCGGTGAGTAATAGCGACAGGAGGCGGTTGCAGGAGGACGAGGAGGAGGGCGGGCGGCCTGTCACCGACATCACTCAGTGTCTCCCTCCTGGCGTTCACTTCGCTCGATTTTATGACTCTCTCATCCCGCACTTTCCCTCCTCGCCGCCGCCGCCGCCGCCGCCACCGCCGCCGCCGCCGCCATCGCCGCCCCCGTCCGTGTTCGTCCTCGCACGTCTACCGTCGTCGTCCTCCGGCGCCCGTTTACACGCCGCGTTCCGCATAATATCGCAAATTGACACATCCGCGTTCAGCATCCATCGATCGACGAGCGGCGTCGAGCTGGACGTCGTCGATGAGGTGGATAATGAATCCCGAATTCCCGAATTTACGATGAACGTTCGTCCTTCTTGCACGGAAACTGACGCAAATTTGCATCCGTGGATAAAATTCTCCCATAGTAATTCAATATCATATACAGTCGATCTTTATAATTACAGCGAATCTATGATATGGTGGTTGTGATCTATTAAGAAGCTGTCGTTTCTGATTTATTTCAGGTGTACAGAGGAAAACATTCAATATAAGTTACAAAAAAGAAAAAAAGCATTGACTCTGCCCTCGCACAGGGGTTCCATTTTCCAGTTTTTTTATTCACGAAATATTCCCGACAGGCACTACGTAAGACGATACCACAAATAGTAATAAAACATTGTCTAAAAAGGAAGAAGAGAGCATTGTGTCGTTCTAGTACATATATTTCATGTCGGAAAATAATCGATAGTGTTACGCTAGTTTTCTGGTTATTTGCGAATTATTGCACAAAAAAATTCGACAAATGTCGCCGCGGGAAACCTGCCGTCCTTTTGCTGCTTTTACGTGAGTTTTGCGGCCACGTGCTTCGTAACTAGAAGAACTGGGGGAAGAGGAATTTATGAGGTGGCATAAAGCGCGGTAGCTAACGTGTAAGGAATATATACAAGAGGGCACAGTGACACAATTAAGTAGCGGGTTAAATTGTTAACGTCAACAACTTTAAAATATCATAACCGTGTGCGCACATATACATTGAGACACTCGTGCTCTTATATTTTATCTCAACGACCAGGATCGAGCATTTCGAAGAGATTAGAAATATGAAGAATGCGTGTTATAGAATTATGTAAAGAAATAGAACGTGTTTCTGAACGGCATATGATGCGAACGAGATATAATTCATAGAACGACTTTGGGTTTCGGTATTTGCGTGCATAAATTATGTGCAACATCCCCATACGGTTTTCTTTTATTGCGTCGGGAAGACACAACAATGTCAATTGTCAAGCCGAACAAAAGGCCTGGATAAAAAATGCGTTCGTGTCTTGTGCGCTCACAGTTTTGTCTTTCATTGCAACAGAACTGTTCCTTTTGTTTCTAAATTTACACTAGAATGTTTCTTTCGGTCTCTCAGAAGATGCAAAGACATGTATGTACAAAGTAGTACGCTATTTGTCGGATATATACTGACATAAAAATTCAATACTTTACAAAGTGAAGGTTGTAAACATATAATTTACATTTAGCGGCGCAAAATTGTTGTTAATAAAGTGCGGAATGGGGCAGTAAAAGAGGATTCGATAGCGCCGCGAAAGTCTCAGATGCGCGCGGGCATTATTGGCCGGGGGGTTCCGCGAAACGCAACACCGATCCGATTAAGGCTCTCGAATTACCGAATTCCCCGGTGCCCTCGGTGCCGCGTGGACCGCGCTTGTTTTTCCTGGGACCGCGTCGTGCATGCGACACTCCTCCTTGGCTCTTGCTTGTTTATAGTTCTTAGAGGGGCGTAGGGAATTCCGGCGACCGTGTGCATCAGTAGTGCGAGTTTCTCTCGAGCGCCCTCGCCACTCATACACTATAGTACGTCGGAATAACCGGTCGTGAGAAAAAGGGATCTGTTAGTAAACCAACGATCTGCTTTAGAAAACTTTGCGCGATATAACGAATGAGAATGTGCTTTCTTATCCGCGTTACGGCGCGCGACTCACACGAGGTTCCCCTCGCGTCGATCGTTTGCGAAGATCATGCAAAGTTATTCAGACGACTATCTTTCCGAGAAGAGAGGGAAAATTTATGTCGCGGCTTACACACCGTTTACTTTTACATGCTAATAAAAATAGCTAATCAAAACATTAAAATCTCTTGTTAGTCCGTCGCTTCGTTACTTAATCGCAACGAGATCATATAATATCGGAGAATTAAGTGTTGTATATGTTTAAGAAGATCGTTCGAGAACTGTCAGTTATTTATTTAATTATTTCATCAGAACACTAATAACGCGATAAATGCGAAAACATATCCATCATACGGTCTATGTTACCGCTTAACGTTTCCTTTCTAAGCCTTTCAAATTCGGGAGGGATAAAACTTAGCTGGCGATATTAGCGTGTGCCAGATTAAAGTATATATTCAGGTTCGATTGTCACACTGTATTAATACTGAATTGAGCAATTTATCATCGGGCAGAGACGAAAAGAAGACCGCCGAAGTCGGACATCGTAAGGCGTTGCGAGGAAAGTAGCTAGGCACCTATATGCGTGTATGGCGCATTGTAACAGACTAAGGGTGGATAACCCGTGATCGATCACCCTGGTGAATGCGACAGCCCTACGGACGCACATCCGCGCCCCATTAAACCGGCTAGTTCGCCCTTGCGAAGTGTACGCGCGCGCACCTACATATCGCGCGCCAAGCCGAACTAAGGAAGGCCCTTTTCCCCTTCTGCGAGATCGCGTCGCGCGATGCGATTGAGGAAAAGTCTCTTTTCTGTCCCGAAAGTGAAATAATCGCCCTCCCTCGGTGATGTACGGCGAAAATCGATCATTCCTCCGGAAATGCTGTTGTGGATACATTGAAATTATAAAATTGATAAAACCTGCCCCCAGAATTTCGAAGAAAAGTGAAGATATTTGAGTTACGTCCCGTGTATCGGTGTCCCGTGTTTATATTACCTACGTGTTTTATTTTTACATCCATTTTGTCTCTAAATATTCAAAAAATAATCAGAAAAAAATTCTTTATTTCTTTGATTACTTTGTAAAAGTTGAAGTCGTTGCGTTACACGGTATGTTTGATCGACGCGATAACGCATAAATTAACTAAAGTAACTGTAAAACATCTATATACGCTTTTAGAATAATCATCGGTTTTTATACAAACAGTTTTGCTTTGAAAGAGAAGATAAAGCGGATTCGAGAGCAAGAGAACGGCTCGCTCGCTCG